TTCAAATCATTACCATGGACTCCTGCACTCAATAGAAGTCCAGGTGGCCAGATGCGGTGGCTCACACCTGTCATCCCAGCACTTTGGAGGATGAGGCTGGAGGACTGCTTGAGCTCAAGAGTTTGAGACCAGTGTGGGCAAATGAAACCTTGTCTCTACAAGAAATTTAAAAAATAGCCAGGCATGGTGGCGAGCACCTGTAGTCCCAGTTACTAAGGTGGCTCAGGTGCAGTGAGCTGTGACTACAAACTGTGAAGTGCAGTGACTAGAGATGGGTGGTGAGTAAGTTAGTGTCTAAGCCCTAACCTGTATGTTTAGGCAAGAGCTCTGTCTTCTGGCTCCTCTCATATAAGCACTGAAATGTTAATCAGCAGGTAAGAGTTGAGCTAACCCAGGGTTGGAGTTCAGTCAGGTGAGTGAGGACCCAAGAGTTGAAGGGTGTATATGAGTGAGTGATTACACACGTGAATCACAAAATTTAAGTCTGAAAAGTAGAGAAAGGAAGGATGGTAAAGAGGCAATAGGACCTGTTGTAGGTCCCAGTTTCTCTTATATAGTTTGGTAGTAATGATTTCTCATTACCTAGCCAGCACTTTTCTTTTCTTTCTCTTTTTTTTTTTTTTTGAGATGGAGTTTTGTGCTTGTTGCCAAGGCTGGCATGCAATGGCATGATCTCAGCTCACTGCAACCACCGCCTTCTGGTTCAAGTGATTCTTCTGTCTCAGCTTCCTGAGTAGCTGGGATTATGGGCATTCACCACTACACCTAGCTTTTTTTTTTTTTTTTAAAGTAGAGATGGGCTTTCACCATGTTGGCCAGCCTGGTCTCGAACTCCTGACCTCAGGTGATCCACCCACCTCAGCCTTCCAAAGTGCTGAAATTGCAGGTGTGAGCCAATGCGCCTGGCCCTAGACAGCACTTTGAACTATTTGGGGACCATCACTAGGCAAGACACTGTGTTAAATGATGATGTGGCACAAAAAAGACCATCTGTGCCATTCAAGAGAGGTCATCATGTAATTCAGAGAGACAAAGTATTCCAAGTACTATACTAAAAAGTGAACGATTCTGAGAGTCTAGACTCTTTACTTGTCCATTCAAAAGTTTCCACAATGTGATGCTAAGCCATTTTTTGTTCTTATCTCCCCCACTCCTCTAAACAAGTCCACTGTGAGTCCATCATCATTTCATAAGCATAGTTTTCCTTTCTCTCCTCTCTGCATCCTTTGAACACTGATGATGTTCTTCCTAGAACGTTTACTTGTGTGACCTCCTCCAACAAAACTCACTTACCATCCTGAAGACTGAGCTCAAATAAGGAATCCAGGAAGCCTTTCTAATATCTTTAGCAGTAGTTGTTTCCTTCTTCTCAATTGTTCACATGATATCTACCATATGCAGATACTTGGATCACCTCTTCCAGCAGACAGCATGGACATTTTCCTGCCTGTCTGTGTAGCAGCGCCTGCCTTTATGTAAGTAAGGGAAGCCCACGAGGAAAAGAAAAAACATAAAGAACAAGGTTAGAACCAGATGGTTGAAATCAGCCTCTGCCTTGGGCTTCCTGGTTGTCATGGATATGATATTTTCTATTGTTCATTAACTCTGGTCTCTATGGTGAGCTCAGAATTAAAGCTAGAACTTTATAAAGGCAAGAAATGATGGGGAGTGGCTCACTTAATATTTCAGTGAAGGTGGTGGGCAGTGTCTTAGCTGGTTTTTTGCTTCTGCAACAGAATACTTAAGACTGTGTAATTTATAAATAAAAGAGATTTATTTAGCTTACAGTTCTGGAGGCTGGGAAGTCCAAGATCAGGTGGCCACATCTGATGAGAGCCTTGTGCTCTTTCACAGCATGGTGGAAAAGTGAAAGGTGAAGCCAGTGCCTGTGAAAAGAGGAGAAATGAAGTGGGCTGACCCACTTTATAACAACCTGCTGTCCTGAGAGCTAACCCAGTTTCTCAAGAACTGCATTAATCCCTTCATGAGGGTGGAGCCCCAAGACTCAAACACTTCCCATTAGGACCCCCCATCCAACACTGCCACATTTAGGAATTAAGGTCCCAACACATGAACTTTTTGAGGGATGTACTCAAACCATATCAGGCAGGCATTGGGAGGAGAGATAGATGTGGTAAAATACTAAAATAAATACATGCTTCTCCAATGGTTTTCCTCCCCTACAAAATATTACATGTTAAGTTAGCTTAAATCTTGTTTTAGATCTATTTCATCTATTCCTGTTAAGACTGCATTATAACTCCTTCTTTCAACTGACTCCCTTCTCACCACCTCACAATACATGGCATCTCTTAAAATAACCAACTCAGGGCTGGGCATGGTGGCTCATGCCTGTAATTGCAGCATTTTGGGAGGCTGAGGCTGGTGGATCACCTGTGGTCAGGAGTTCAAGACCAGCCTGGCCAACATGGCAAAACCTCATCATCTCTCCTAAAAATACCAAAATTAGCCAGGTGTGGTGCCTGTAATCCTAGCTACTTGGGAGGCTGAGGCAGAACAATTGCTTGAACCCAGGAGGCGGAGGTTGCAGTGAGCCAAGATTGTGCCATTGCACTCCAGCCTGGGCAAAAGAATGAGACCCCATCTAAAAAAAAAAAACCAAAAACCAAAAAACAGCCAACTGAGTATGAAAAGTGAAGAAAAATAATCCATGTCAGAAATTTCAAGGAGTGTGTGTACTGGATGTGGCATATACAGGACAACACTGAAGAAGACATTGACATTAGTCTTTCTGGTTTCTCTCTTAGTAAGTAGATGGACCCAGATGGGACCCTCTAACTTACGTGATAAGGTATGGAGGTAAGGGGGCTAGGGAAGCATGGGAGACTTTCAATACTTGGACTGCCTTTTGCCCAGCATTTACAGGATTGGCTTTGGCCAACATAAAACAGCAGCCTTAGAAAAGAGGTAGTGTATGATCTTGGCTGTACCTTGGCATAGTTCAGTACCTGGCAGTAGCCAAACTGCAAACTTTGAGGACAGTTTCTACACAAGACCACTCTCTGTTCTGATGCCAACTATAAGTTTGAGGGGTCCCCCAATACACCTTTAGGTTTGATAATTCACTAGAAAGCCTCATAGGACTCACTGAAAGCTATTATAGTCACAGTTATGGTTTATTAAGGGAAAGGACACAGATTAAAATCAGCCAAAAGGCTAGGTACAGTGGCTGTCACCTGTAATCCCATTGCTTTGGGAGGCTGAGGTGGGAGGATCACTTGAGCCCAGGAATTTGAGGCTACCGTGAGCTACGATTGTGCCAGCCTGGGTGACAGAGGGAGACTGTTCAACTAATTAACTAAACTAAATAATAAAAATCAGTCAAAGGAAAAGATACATAGGGCAGAGTCTGGGAGTGCTGGAAAGATGAGGCTTCTGTTCCTTCCCCATGGAATCAGGGTGTGTCATGCTCTGGTATTGATATGTGACAATAGTCACAAAGTATTGCTAATCAGAGAAGCTCACCAGAGTTTCAGTGTCTAGAGTTTTTATTTGGGACTTTATTATGTACTCATGATTGATCAGTTGATTGCCTTGTTGTTGAACTTAGTCTTCGGATCAATTGATACTTCATGCTCCAAAGCCCCCAGCCTAAGTCACATGATTGGGCTTTCTGTCATGGCCAGTTTCTATCCTAAGCCTTTAACCCAGTGTGACTAGCCCCATCCTTAAACAAGGCACTCCTATCAGATATGGCATAGCTTACCTTCTAGAAGCCTAAGGCAAAGGCCAGATGTCAGTTGGGGCAAGACCAAACTCTTCGCTACATAGTTAATTCATGGGATAGTGGCTTTGCCCAACAGAGAAGAGGAAAAACAAAGCTCCCTTGCAGGGGAGTGCATGAATCTTCTTTCCTCTTCTCCCTTGCCAGGTTGTTAGATTGTTCAACTAGAATTGCAAGCTTATATCAACTGGCCCTCCAGCCTAAGAAGCGAGAGAAATATACTAATAACAAAGAGGTTCACAGTGCAGAAAAACGTTTTCCTTATCCACATCCTAAACACCTGGATTAGACTGACTTTTCTTTATTCAAAAATTAGTAAAAAGAAAATACTAATATGGCAGCTAAGAAAATAATTTATAGTTAAGAGAAGGAGAATTGAGATACAGAAAGGGAGCATTGTTTGGAAAAAAAATTAATTCAAGAAGGAGATTAGCCTAGGTAAAGAATTTATGACTAAGACCCCAAAAGCAAATGTGACAAAAACAAAAATAAATAAATGGGACCTAATTAAACTAAAAAGCCTCTGCACAACAAAAGAAATAATCATCAGAGTAAACAGACAACCTATAGAATGGGAGAAAATATTTGCAAATTATGCATCTGACAAAGGACTAATATCCAAAATCTACAAGGAATCAAACAAATCAGCAAAAAAAACCCCACCAGATAATCCCATTAAAAGGTGGGCAAAGGACATGAATAGATATTTCTCAAAAGAAAATATAAAAATAGCCAAAAAATACAAGAAAAAATGCTCAACATCACTAATCATCTTGGAAATGCAAATTAAAACTACAAAGAGATACTACCTTATCCAAGCCAGAATGGTGATTATTAAAAATTAAAAAAAAACAATAGATGTTGGTGTGGATTTGGGGAAAAAAGAAAACTTATATGCAGCTGGTGAGAATGTAGATGAATATAACCTCTGGGGAAAACAGTATGGAGATTTCTCAAATAACTAAAAGTAGATCTACCATTTGATCCAGCCATCTACCACTGGATATCTACCCTAGGAAAATAAGTCCTTATATCAAAAAGACATCTGCACATGTGTTTATGGTAGCACAATTCACAATTGCAAAGATATGGAATCAATCTAAGTGTCCCTCAACTGATGAGTAGATAAAAGAAAATGTTATATACATATACTTGTGTGTGTGCATGTACATATATATGTGCATATATATTATATTTATATGTACCATGGAATACAATCCAGCCTTAAAAAGTAACAAAATAATGTCTTTTGCAGCAACTTGGATGGAACAGGAAACCATTATTCTAAATGAAGTAACTCAAGAATCGAAAACCAAATACTGCATGTTCTCACTTATATGTGGAAGCTAAGCTATGAGTATGTAAGGGCATGCAGAATGGCATAATGGACATTGGAGATTCAGGAGTGGGGAGGGTCGGGGGTGAGGGATGAAAAACTGCCTATTGGGTACAATGTACACTACTTGAATGACAAGTGCACTAAAATTCTAGACTTCACCATTACACAATTCATCCTTGTAACCAAAACCACTCATACCCCTAAAGCTATTGATATAAAAAATTTTTTTTTAAAACAAAGAAATTTCAGAACATGCCTGTAATGTGTTCTTAATATCCTTAAGATATGATCTTGAAGTAAGATGAATGGTGAATGATAATACAACAGAAGTGACAAGGTAGGTGGCAGATGAGCTATCTTAAATGAGGGTTAAAAAATAGTTACGGAATTTGAAACTTCAAAAAATAGTAAAGCTGAATAAAACCTATTTAAAATTAAATTAGTGATATGGAGAGAAAACTTGAGAAAGTTTCCCAGAATAGAGAGAAAAAGGTGCAGGATGAAATGCAAAACAGGAAAAAATAGTAGACATTGAGAAGAGAGGAAGGAGGCCCACCATCAGATAATTGGTGATAGTGAATCTGACGATTATGTGCCTTGGGGTTGCTCTTCTTGAGGAATATCTTTGTGATGTTCTCTGTATTTCCTGGACTTGAATGGTGGCCTGGCTTGCTAGGTTGGGGAAGTTCTCCTGGATAATATCCTGAAGAGTATTTTCCAGCTTGGAGTCACTCTCTCCGTCACATTCACGTATACCTATCAAACGTAGATTAGGTCTTTTCATATAATCCAATATTTCTTGGAGGCTTTGTTCATTTCTTTTCACTCTTTTTTTCTCTATTCTTGCCTTCTCATTTTATTTCATTGAGTTGATCTTCAATCTCTGATATCCTTTCTTCTGCTTGGTCGATTTGGTTATTGAAACTTATGTATGTTCGTGAAGTTCTCGTGCTGTGTTTTTCAGCTACATCAAGTCGTTTACATTCTTCTCTAAGCTGTTTATTTTAGTTAGCATCTCATCTAACCTTTTCTCTAGGTTCTTAGCTTCTTTGCATTGGGTTAGCACATGTTCTTTTATCTCTGAGAAGTTTGTTATTACCCACCTTTTGAAGCCTGTTTCTGTCAATTCATCAGATTCATTCTCCATCCATCTTTGATCCATAGCTGGTAAGGAGTTGTGATCCTTTGGAGGAGGAGAGGCATTCTGGTTTTTGGTGTTTTCATCCTTTTTGTGCTGGTTTCTTCCCATCTTAGTGGCTTTATCTACCTGTGGTCTTTGTAGTTAGTGACTTTCGGATGGGGTCTCTGAGTGGATGTCATTTTTGTTGATGATGAAGTTATTTCTTTCTGTTTCTTAGTTTTCCTTCTAACAGGCCCCTCTGCTGCAGGACTTCTGGAGGTCCGCTCCAGATTCTTCTTGCCTGGGGATCACCCACAAGGGCTGAAGAATAGTAAGGGTTGCTGCTGGTTTCTTCTTCTGTTATCTGCGTCCCAGAAGGGTACCTGCCAGATGTTGGCCTGAGCTCTCCTTTATGAGGTGTCTCTTAGGGTATACAGGTGTTGGTAAGCTGCTTGAGGAGACAGTCTGTCCCTTATAGGAGCTCAAGTGCTGTGCTGGGAGCTCCGTTGTTCCGTGCAGAGCTGCTGGGCAGGTACTTTTAAGTCTGCTACAGCAGAACTCATAACCACCTCTTTTCCCAGGTGCTCTGTCCTAGGAAGGTCAGCTTTATTTAGAAGTTCCTGTCGTGCTGCTGCCTTTTTTCATAGATGCCCTTCCCTGCACAGAGTAGTCTAGTCACAGTCTGCCAGCAGAGGTATTGCTGAACTGCCACAGGCTCTGCCCAGCTGCTTTGTGAACTGCCTCAGTAGTGGCGGACTGCCTTGGTAGTGGTGGTCACCCTCCCCTCCACCGAGCTGGACCACCTTGAGTCCAGCTGTGCTTGCTGTGAAACTCTCAGTTCAGAGCATTTCAATTTGCTTGTTTTGTGGGGGTGGTACCTGCTGAGCCAGATTGCCTAGATCCCTGTCTCTGCCCCCTCCCTTTCAGTTGAAGGGGCCACTCTCTCTCCCAGGTGTTTCAGACGCCAGTTGAAATGGCCCCCAGATTTATGTGAGTTTCTGTGCACCAAGCCAGCACCGGCTGAAACTGCCATGCTGAAAACTCATGGTGCTTTTCGGCCCAGGAATCTCCTGGTCTGTGGGCAGTGAAAATTTGTTTGGAAAAATTCAAAATTGTTTGGAAATGCACTCACCCTCTGTGTTGTTCTTGCTGGGAACTGCACTCCAGAGTTGTTCCTATTCAGCCATCTTGGATCCTCCCTCCCCATAGGTTGTCTTTTCACCCAGTTATTTCTTTTGCTTTGCAAAAGCTTTTTAGTTTGATACAGTCCCAATTGTCTATTTTTGCTTTTGTTGCCTGCACCTTTGATGTCATAACAAAGAAATCATTGCCAGAACTATGTCATAAAGCTTTTCTCTATGTTTTCTTCTAGAAATTTTACAATTTCAAGTATTTAATTCCTTTTTAGCTGATTTTGTGTGTGATGTAAGATAAGGGTCCAGTTCCTTTTTTTTTGATTTTGCATATGGGTATCTTGTTTTCCCAATACCATTTGTTGAACAGACTGTCCTTTCTCTACTGTGTATTCTTGGCACCCTGTTGAAGATCAGTTGGCCATCCATATAAGGCTGCATTTATTTCTGGGCTCTCTATTTTGTTCTATTGATCTATATGTCTGTCTTTATGCCAGTACTGTACTGTTTTAATTACTGTAGCTTTGTAACATAATTTGAAACCAGGAAGTTGTGATGCCTCTAGCTTTGTTCCTTTTTCTCAAGATTGTATTGGGTATTTGGGGGTCATGTGTGGTTCTATATAAATTTCAGGATTGTTTTTTCTTCAACTGTAAAAAATTCCATTGGGATTTTAAAAGGAAGTGCATTGAATCTGTAGATCATTTGGATACTGCGGGAATTTCAACAATATTAACTCTTTCATTTTATGAACACAATGTCTTTTCATCTATTTGTGTCTTCATTAATTTATTTCATCAGTGTATTGCAACAGTCAATGTACAAGTCTTTTGCCTCTTTTGTTAAGGTTATTCATAAGGAACAACTGTTAGAAAACTATACCTCTCTGAACCTGCAAAGAATTCAAGAGAGTTCGGACTTTGCTCTCGATTAGGCTTTGGCTTAAGGAAATGTCGTGGCTGCTTTGATCTTCTATCTAGACTACTCAACAATAAACTCAAACATTCCCCATATTAGCAATAAGGCTGCTTTGCTTTATTATCATTCATATATTTACTGGATTAGCACTTTAAATATGTTTTAAGAACTTTTCCTGTGCCTTCACAACTTGGCTGACTTGCACAAGAGGCCCAGCTTTCAGCCTATCTTGGTTTTTGTCATGCCTTCCTCACTAAGCTTGACCATTTCTAGCTTTTGATTTAAAGTGAGAAATGTGGGACTCTTCCTTTCACTTGGACATTTAGAGGCCATGATTGGGTTATTAATTGGCCTAATTTCAATATTGTGGTGTCTCAGGGAGTAGGGAAGCCCCAGGAGAGGGAGGTAGATGGGAGAATGGCTGGTCAATGGAGCAGTCAGAGTACACACAATATTTATCAATTAAGCTTGCCATTTTATGTGGGTATGGTTTGTGGTACCCCAAAAACAATTACAACAGTAACATCAAAGATTACCATTCACAGATCACCATGAAAATATAAGAATAATGAAATTGTTCGAAATATTGCAAGAATTACCAAAATGTGACAGAGACACTATGTGAATACATGCTGTTGGGAAAATGGCACTGATAGACTTGCTTAATGCAGAGTCTTTTTTTAAAATTTGTTTTAAAAAAACCCAGCATCTGCAAAACGCAATAAAGTACAGTAAAATGAGGTATACTTGAATCTCCATTGTATTGAGACTGTTTCCAGAGATTTATCCTGTTGCTTTATTTGGAATATATTTCCCTGTTTCTTCATTTCCCTTGAGTTTTTGTGTCAGTATCTATGCATTAGAAAATGCAGCCACCTTTCCCTACCTTCACGACTGAACTTGTACAGGAAGAAATCCTCACCGATCAGTTTGCCCAGAGATTTTAGGGGCCTCTCAAACCTTCATGCTTTATTCTCAGAGGCCCCTAAGGCATCTTGATCATGCTAGCTCTCATTAGTCTTAAAGACAGAGGAGACAGAAGTCAGTCCCCTGAGAAGCCCCTGGAAAAGTTGGAAGGCTGGGTACCTGCTTCAACTCTTCTTCCTAGGGAGAAGCTGGGAACAGGTGGTTTCCTTCTGTTGGGTATGGTGCTGTGATGGGGTAGGGATTACAATGAGAGTGTTCTGAATTTTCCTACCAGCTTCAATGTGGCTGGTTTCATGTTCATGCAGGGTACAGGAGCTTCTCAACTTGTTTCTAAATTCCTCAGAAAGGGAATTTGTCCATGCATTGTTGTTGAGTTGGTATCTCCACTGGGAAAAGGAGAGACCAGGGCTTCCTGCTTGGCCATCTTGCTGATGTTATCCTTCCCATGATATGTACGTATTCAATGATAAACATGCATTATTTTTATAGTCAGGTAAATTGCTATTTTATAAAAACAGTGACTAATGGGAGATAGATGAAATTCTAAAATGAGATTATTGTGTTACAAACTAATAATGTTATAGAAAGTAGGCTGCAGAATGGAAAGAATCTAGATTGTCACAGTTTTCTCCAGTTCACAGGTAGCCCATTGCTGCTTCTACAGGGCTATGGAGAAGGCAGAAGAGGGCATGAGTAAAGGCTGGTGCCCCAGATGAGATAGCCCTGTTCACTCTTCCTGCCAACATAGATGCTCTCTTTTGCTTCTAGACCAGCAAAGTATCTTGAAGTCTGGCCTTGAATGTGGTCATTGACAACACTAAATTCTACCTAAGAGTACTCTGTAACTCTTGGAAAACAGTGAGGGTTATGAAATCCCCCTACTTTTGTGCTCTGGGAAACAAAAGGCACTTACTGCAAAGATGCTCCCCACCCCTTCCTCATATAACGTAGATAAGAGTCATGGATACCTCTTAGTTCAACAGTTCCCAACCTTTTTGACACCAGGGACCGGTTTCATGGAAGAAAATTTTTCCACAGATGGGAGGGGGATGGTTTCAAGATGAAACTGCTTTACCTCAGGTCATCAGGCTTTAGATTCTCATAAGGAGCGTGCAACCTATATCCTTCGCATGCACAGTTCACAGCAGAGCTTTGCAGTGTTACCTAGGCTAGTATGATGGCCTTTTGGAATCAGGTTTCTCTGTACTAATCCCAGATTTGTTTTTGCTTTTGATGCCATATAAGTAAGGGGGGAAAAAAAGAAGAAAAAAGTCTGAATTCCACTGTGGGTTAAGGATGGGAGTTAGTATAAACATCTACTTACAAAAAGAAGTTCCTGAATACAACATTTATTTGAAAATGAGATACCTCAATAGATAGAACCAATGCAAAATAAATAAATAAATAAATAAATAAATAACCCAGGGTGAAGAGATGTGAAATGTGGAATGAAAAGTATATGTGTGTGCTGGGTGAGATGGCTCATGCATGTAATCCAAGCTACATGAGAGGCTGAGATGGGATGATTGCTTGGGCCCAGGAGTTTGAGGCTGCTGTGAGTGATGACTGCATTACTCTACTCTGGCCTGGGTGACAGAGCCAGACTCCAATCATTTTTTTTTTTTTGAGACAGAGTCTCACTTTGTTGTCCAGGCTGGATTGCAGTGGTGTCATCTCAGCTCACTGCAGCCTCCGCCTCCTGGGTTCAAGCAATTCTTCTCCCTCAGCCACCAGAGTAGCTAGGAGGCAGGTACCACCACGCCTGGCTAATTTTTGTATTTTTAGTAGAGATGGGGGTTTCGCCATGTTGTCCAGGCTGGTCTGGATCTCCTGAGCTTAAGCAATCCACCCACCTTGGACTCCCAAAGTGCTAGGATTACAGGCATGAGTCACCATGCCTGGCCAGACCCTGGCTCCTAAAACAAAAAATGCATGCTGTGACATACAGAGAACAGGGTATCATCTGCAAAACTCCAACTCTAAATATCCCTGGGAAAGAAGATTATGAAGCACGTGGAATAAAAAGAGGGCCCATTTTATATAAACGTAAAGCTGGAAAAAGTTCCTTTTTTTTACTGGACTTAAACTGCATATGTAGAGAAAAACATATTCTAGGAGATTAGCCTTCTTTTTGCAAAATTTGTGTAGGATTTTTTTGGTTGCCAGTTTTCTTGAAAGAACATCATTTTCTGGTGTGTTTTTTCTTCCAACCTTGCATTTTCAAGCTCATATTGTTCTGGTGAACAAAGCAAGACTCTTTGATCTGGGTTGACACTTTATGCAGAGCAGAATTTTAGCTATCTGAAAAAAACGAACTTCCACCCTGTAGGAGGATTATTAAAAGGCATACAACTTGACAACCATTAAGCAAAAACAGGTTGGTGGTTATACTTATTAAGGATAATTATAGCATTTAAGCTTAATGGCATAAATTGGTCAATGGATAATTTAATCTGGCAGACATCAAAATTACACTTAAATATTAGAGAAAGGAGACAGAAAACACAGAGATGGTTGTTAGATGGGCTCAAAAACTTTTGGAATGCCTTTCCAAAGCTTCATAATATCTCTTTAATGTCTTATTTCTTTCCTCACTTAGAGTCGGGTTTATCTGAAATTGTGGCTTTTTGAAAAACTCTGTTTCCACTCACTTCAGTTATAGTCACTTCAGTTATTATTGCAAATATTGTGAATATTTCGACTCCATAACCACTCAAATACATATTTGTCTTCTTCTCAGCTCATCATTTGGGAGAAATGGGAGCCACCAAGACTCATACAAGAACCCACCTAAGGCCAGGCATGATGGCTCATGCCTGTAATCCTAGCACTTTGGGAGGCTGAGGCAGGTGGATCACCTGAGGTCAGGAGTTCAAGACCAGCCTGGCCAACATGGTGAAACCCCATCTCTACTAAAAATACAAAAATCAGCCAGGCATGGTGGCGCACACCTGTAATTCCAGCTACTTGAGGCGCTGAGGCAGGAGAATCGCTTGAACCTGGCGGGTGGAGGTGAGATCATGCCACTCTACTCCAGCCTGGACAAAAGAACCCACCTGAATTTGTAAAAGTCTGTTGTGGATTATAAGGAACAAGCTTATTTGTGAGAATTACATAACTTTATAATCTTGTTAACTTAAAAATGTGGGCTAGATTCTACCTTGGGTTCCCTGATGAGATCTGCATCCATTGTGTTTGTCCCAGAATATTTTCCTCCTCTCTTCCTTTGAGGAATCACATGCCTGACACTATTACTGTTGTTGGGCAGAGCCCTACTAGCCAATAGCTTCAGAGGATTTTCTAGCTAAGAAGAGCTTAGTGGTGGGGGAAGTGGGGAGTGGCTGTGAGGATTAGCTCATTAATTATGCAGAGATGCAGGCTGCATAATGACCGGTAAAAGCATGGATAAAAGGATGATGCAGGTATTTTTCAGGGACAAGCTTTGGTGTTGGAGATTCCGTTTCTAGAGGCAGGACAGACCCAGGAAGCCCAGGGCTCCAGGAAATGTTGGTGTGAGGTAAGGGTTGTGGCTGCTCCACCTCCCTTCAGTCCCAGATCTGCTGGCCCCAACTTTGTGCTGAGAGGGCTGTGGATCACCATGGCTCCCCACCCCACACAAGCTCCTATCCACTAAAGTTACACCACTAAAACAGCTTTACTCCTGGAGGATTTAGTAATTAATCTGTCACTGTGTCACCATGGCAACATATTTGTTTATCTCAAATGCCATGAGCTCAAGGGGCCAGGATTTGAAAAACTGCTTTACCTAGTGCCCTAGCTAGCGATTAACAAAGGATTATGTTGTAGAACACAGCACATGCTGGTTGGTTCCAAGGCAAAGGAGCCTTAGGGAACTAATGTTCATTTTTCCTCCTTTACAAATGGCTGAGATTCCATTAAGGGATTGAGGAATAGCAGACCCCTTCTGGCCTCATGGGACACATCATGACCTCCCAGGGACACTAAAGGAGAAATCCCCTGCTGTCCTCCACTCTGCTCACCTCTTTTCCACTCCTTCTTTCTCTTCTCCCATTCATTAATTCAGTAATTTTAAGGAGGGATAGAAGATGCAGAGATTTAATTCATTCACCTCAATTTTTAGGGGCATGCACTGGTACAAGATTTTTCTCTCATTTTATTTCATTTAATTCCTCCCTTTTCATACCTGATGCCACACATGTTTTCTTCCCTGTCATAAGTGGTTTTTATTGAATTTCTTTCTTCCTTTCTTTCTTTCTTCTTTCTTTCTTCTTTCTTCCTTTCTTCTTTCTTTCTTTCATTTTCTTTCTCTCTCTGTCTCTCTTTTAAGAGAGTCTCACTCTGTTGCAGGGTGAAGTACAGTGGCACAATCATGGCTCACTGCAGCCTTGACCTTCTGGACTTAAGTGATCCCTCCATCTCAACCTCTGTAGAGTAGCTGGGACTGCAGGCACATGTCACTATGCCCGGTTAATTTTTAAATTTTTTTTGTAGAAACAAGGGTCTCACTATGTTGCCCAGGCTGGTTTCCAACTCTTGGGCTTAAACAATCCACCCACCTCAGCTTCCCAAAGTGCTGGAATTACTGGCATGAGCCATAGGGCCCAGCTTCAGAGTTTCTTGTTCAAGTGGCTTACAGAGGGAAAACTCTCAAGAAATACTGGTTAGGGGAGCAGAAGAGGGAAAGTGCTACAGGAAGAAGAGGGTCAGGCACATCTAGCCTCAGCCGACCGATGGTGAGCTCTGGAGCATGAACAGCACTGCAGGGTTGCCTTCCCCTTCCCTGTCCTGCTGACCCTACCTGGAGGCAAGGGGTAGGCCTGCCATCCATGGGGCTGAGGGTTGTCAGCCAGCCAGCTCTCCTCTGCTGAGGGCAGCTCCCCCAAAAGCAGGGCAGCTGTGAGACATTTGCAGCCAATTCACACAGCAGCTGGGAGGGTGGGGACTCCAGAACAGTGAAAGAGATTGGGTGGGGCACCAACCACTACAACAGGGAATCACATTCGTGTTTAATAAGCATCTGTATATCTGTGTGTTTATCTGTTACTGCAGAATATTTAGTGCTCATTCAAAAAAATGTATTGAATCCGTACTCTGTGCCTATTTTGATTCTAAAAACTGGGAGGTTGTAGTCATAATGAAGACAGATAGGATCACCCCTGCCCTTCGGTTGCTGTTAAGTGGAAGAAATAGATATTAAACAACAATTAACACAAATGAACATTCCAGAATGCAAAATGTCATACATGCTGAGAAGGAGAAGCTGAGGTGTGACAAGAGATCACAGTGGAAGGCGAGGCGAGATGCATGCTGGGGTGGAGGGAAGGCCTCCCTGGGGATGAGTATTTATGGCAGTGACCTAGAGAGGAGTTGGTGTGAGCTGGAAAGAGAATGGGAGGAAGGCTGCTCCACACAGAGGGAACAGAGAGAGCACTGTCCTGACCTGGAGAAAGACCTCCATGGTTTCAGGGAATTGAAAGAAGGTCTGTGTGGCTGGACACAGTGACCAAGAGGTGAAGGACATGAGAACAACAAGAAAGAGGGCCCATGGCAGCAGATGCCAGGCCTTGGAGGTCATGTTTGGGATGGAGCTCTCAATGAAAGCCAATGGAAATCCACTGATGCCTTTGTCAAGAAACAGGCATGATGACCATGGTGGCTCAAGGGCTGTGCGAGGTTTGGAGAAGGCAGGAATGGAAGCTGGGAGGCTGGTGGAGGTCGAGGGAGAGATGCCAGCGCTCTGGACTTGAGTAGTGGCAGTGGACGTGAGGAGAAGCAGCTGGGAGAGGAGATTTCAGAGGGAGAAGGTGCAGGGGTTGCTGAGGGTTTGGGTGCAGGAGTGAGGGAAGGCAGGCATGTTACACTCATGTGGACAGAAGTGCCATTTTCCAGTGGGAGATGAAGGGCAGGCAGTTGGGAGGATGCGCTCAAGGCTCAGGACTGGAAATTTAAGCCCAGTAGTTGTCAGCACACGGGTAACACTTGGAACCCAGGGAGAAAGTATTGCTAAGAAGCAAAAGGAAAGAGAGCAGGACCCAAGTCCATGCGAAGAGGGGGAAACCAGCCAAGTGTCCGAAGCAGAAACCAGAGAGGCAGGAGGAACACAAAACATGGCAGCAACAAACCCAGCAGAGGAAGTTTCAGGAAGGAGGGTGATCAGTCCTGGGATATGCCCACTGTTGGGTGCCAATCAGATGGTCTTTGGACAGAGCTGAAGAAGGGTGCAGTGGAACATGAAGGCTGCAGGTGGCTTTCTGCAGGTGCAGCTGTGCTGGGAGAGGAGGAAATGCAGGCTGGATACAGGACACTCTTAAGTAAGTTTAGTTATTTGTGGAGGAGAAGGGGCCGCCTCTGGACTGGGAATCAAGAACACGTTTTTTTGTTTGTTTGTTTGAGACAGAGTTTTGCTCTTGTTGCCCAGACTGGAATGCAATGGTGCGATCTTGGCTCACTAAACCTTTGCCTCCCAGGTTCAAACGATTCTCCTGCCTCAGCCTCCCAAGTAGCTGGGATTACAGGCATGCGCCACCACACTCAGCTAATTTTTGTATTTTTAGTAGAGACGGGATTTCTCCATGTTGGTCAGGCTTGTCTCAAACTCCTGACCTCAGGTGATCCTCCCACCTTAGTCTCCCAAAGCGCTGGGATTACAGGTGTGAGCCATTGTGCCTTACCGAACATTTGTTTTTTAAGATGGGGGAGATGGTTGAATGCTGGGTAGGAGTTGGATTATGGGGAGAGTCAAGGGTACAGAAGAGAGAGGGGTTAATTGCTAGAGAAAAGTCTCTACAGAGGTGGGAGCAGGTGTGAGCAGACCACCATTCCCATTATCTGGCCAATGCTGAGCCCATGCACATTGGGGTCCCAGCCTAGAGAGATGACAGCAGAGGAGGGATGGGAACATCTGTGTGGTGAAACCATCCCTATAGACTTTATAAAATTAATCAGGGAAGAAGGAAGGGGGAGAAACGAGGATGAACCAAGCTTGCAGCACACTCAGCAGTAACCATGAGGTCTGCTTGCTCTCTGCTCCGCTTCCTCAGAGCTGTTTGGGGCCTATCGACTCAGAGTTATATAGACCCTGTTATGAGATGATCCTTCCCCTTAGCTTCTCTATAGATAAGAACTTGAACATTATAAAACATTAAGTTTTCCATTTGAGATACTCTTTCAGGTTCTACATACCAATGAAACTACTGATGCCAGCTGGTTTTAAGGACCCCACAGGAGCTGACTCACCAAAGAATGCAGTTTCCACATCCTGATGATTTCCTCCCCCTTACCACAACTAATCAACCAAATTCCTTGTTACTGACTGGCACTGGCCAAGGCTTCCACATGTGGCTCAGTCGATATGTAACAGGATCTTTTGACCAATGCCTGGCAAGTCAATATACCAAGGCAAGAGGGATTGCTGCAGAGAAAATATCTAATAATCACATGACAGCTAAATGAGGAGGTGGGAGGAAACCTCCAATCCACCAAATTAAGGAATTTGGGACTAGAGATTTTAAGGACTTTGGGATGGGCTGATGTATGGGGATTGTTGGTTGCTGGAAGAGTGCACGGGGAAGTCATTGGACAGGGAGATGGAGAAACTTCATTCTCATGCTGATTTGGTTCCTCATGGGGTCTTTAAACTGGTTGACATCAGCCTTTCTTGATGGAATTCAAGACATGAAGAATATCTTGAGCAATTCTTAAACAATAGTTATGATTCTAACATCAGAAGTCCTATCTATGGGAAAATGGGGATTTAAACAGTCAGTATCTAGTGCTGCATGACTCAATTATAAGGAAGTGGGCCAGAGTGCAGCCTAATTAATGCTTCATTATAACTATATTTCTGCCCTAAACCTGGCATATAAATTCTTGTTAACCCTATGAGGATGGTTTTAGACACTCTCTTGGGGGATCCATCTCCCTGCAGGTCTAACTCTGAATCACAGTTCTGCAGGCATTTGGTTCCTGGCTCAGTCAGCAACTCCAGAGCCAGTCCAGCCCATCAGGGCAACCCTCCCCTCAGGCTCCAGACTCCCCCCCTACTCCTGGCCACTGAATAATGAAGCCCACCAAATTCTGAGATGGCACTGTCAACCCTGCTTTCCCACTGCTCCCTAATTCCACATCTCCTATAGTCTTCGATTATTTCCAGGGCTGCCTTGAAACATAAAAGATATTCAAAGCAAATCTGTTGGCAGTCAGCTTAATTCATGCAAGCATTCCATTGAGGCACTTATAGGGATGGCAGAAAATCAAACAATGGGATGGATACCCTGCCCTGGAAAGTGGGTTTCTTTGCTGATGCTGCTATTGGAAATAGTGCCATTAATTTTATAAAAGAGGTATCATATTCAGAAAGACTCTATCAATCACTGTAAATGCTTCGGCGCCTTTAACAATTGTAAAATGTGGAAGCCGAAGATGTAGGGGCCTGTTGGAGGGTGCCGATTCCTGCATCTGGGATGCAGATGCCTTTGAAGCTGTACCTCTCAGATGGCTTTGATCCTCCCAGGCCCAGAGATAAAGACAAGACGAGAGAGGTGTTATTAGTGTTATTATTTACACTTAGTGGAGCTTACCTGTGGGGCCTATTTTGTAAAGTGCTTGAGTCGCTACTGATTTGTAAGTAATTTCACTTCTCACAGCATCACTTCTGGGTGGAGAAAGAAGGCTGGAGGAAACTCTGGAGATAATAACTTTTCTCCATGTTAGAGTGCTCATTAAGCCCGGCCTAGTGGGAATATGTATTCTATTTATTGTATCCTTTTACTGGAAATTATTTCTTTAGTAGAAGCTCATGTGCCTCAGTGACCTGGAATGGTGGTTCTTGAGTAATTTCTATCATTCTCCCCTGTTGAAAGCTTATGTATGGAGACCATCTGGGTAAGAGTCACAGCTTGAACAAGAGGACAGTGATTAGGGATTTCTAATTTTATTATTATTATTTTTAACATTTGTTGAGGTTGGTTTACAATCCAGGACATGGTTAATCTTAGTGAATGCTCCATAGGCACTTGAAAAGCACATGTATTCTGCTATTCTTGGTTTGTTTGTTCTATTAGATCCTGTTGGTTGAAGGTGTTGTTCAATTCTTCTATATCCTTATGATTTTCTTTCTTTCTTTTTTTTTTTTTTTAATTCTAGAGACAGGGTCTATCTCAGTTGTCCATACTGGATTGCACTGGTGCAGTCATAGCTTACTGTAACCTCAAACTCCTGGGCTCAAGTAATCCTCCTGCCTTAACCTCCTGAGTAGCTAGAAGTACAGGCTTGTGCTACCATGCCTGGCTAATTTTTAAAATTATTATTTTCTTCTCCTTCTGTGCCTAATGCAGCCATGGCTCGTGGTCCCAAGAGGCATCTGAAGCAGGTAGCAGCTCCAAAGCATTGGATGCTGGATAAACTGACTGTTCCTTGTCCATCCACCAGTCCCCACAAGTTGAGAGACCGTCTCCCTCTCATCATTTTCCTAAGGAACAGACTTAAGTATGCCCTGACAGGAGAGGAAGTCAAGAAGATTTGCATGCAGCTTTTCATTAAGATCGGTGGCATGGTCTGAACTGATATAACCTACGGTACTGTATTCATGGATGTCATCAGCATTGACAAGATGGGAGAGAATTTCTGTCTGATCTATAACAACAAGGGTCACTTTGCTGTACATCATATTATACCTGAGGAGACCAAGTACAAGTTGTGCAAAGTGAGAAAAATCTTTGTGGGCACAAAAGGAATCCCTCGTCTGGTGACATGATGCTCACACCACCTGCTACCCTGATCCCCTCTTCAAGGTGAATGATACCATTCAGATCAGTTTGGAGACTGGCAAGATTACTGATTTCATCAAGTTCGACACTGGTAACCTGTGTATGGTGACTGGAGGTGCTAACCTGGGAAGAATTGGTGTGATTACCAACAGAGAGAGGCACCCTGGATCTTTTGACATGATTCACATCCAAGATGCCAATGGCAATAGCTTCGCCACTCGACTTTCCAACATCTTTGTTATTTGCAAGGGCAATAAACCATGGTTTTCTCTTCCTCGAGGAAAGGGTATTTGCCTCACCATTGCTAAAGAGAGACAAGAGATTGGCAGCCAAACAGAGCAGTGGGTGAAATGGTCCCTGGGTGGCATGTTAGATTTTTGTACGTCATTAAAAATAATGTGGCATGATTGATAGCCAAAAAGAAAATAAAACAATTTTTTTTTTGGTAGAGACAGTGTCTTACTAAGTTTCCCAGGCTGTTCTCAAACTCAAGTGGCTCTCCTGCACTGGCCCCAAAGTGCTGGGATTATAGGCGAGTTACCATGCCTGGCTCCTTGTGGATTTTCTGTCTAGTAGTTCTATCAATTAATGAGAGAAGAGTGTTAAAGTCTCCAACTATAATAGTAGATTTGTCAGTTTCTTCCCTTGGCTTTTTCAGTTTTTGCTTCATGGTTTTGGAAGATCTGTTTTTGGTGCATACACACTTAGGTTTGCTCTCTCTTGTTGGTGGATTGAACTTGATCTATTATCATCATGTAAAGTTCCTCTCCATGACTGATAATTTCCTTGCTCTGAAGTCTACTTTGATTTCATATAGCCATTCTTCCTTTTTGAAATATAATACATACATGATATATCTTTTTCAATGCTTTTACTTTTTACTTAGCTATATCATTATGTTTGATTTGAGTTTTTTATAGACAGCCTATCATTGGGTAATGTTTTTAAATCTACTCAGCCAATATTATCTTATTTTCAATAAAATTTTTTACACATAATTATATGTATTTATGGAGTAAAATGTGATGTTCTGATACATAAATACACTGTGTAATGATCAAATCAGGCATATCTAACTACCTCAAACATTAATTTTTTCTGTTACAGGCACATACAAAATCCTCTTTTCTAGCTATTTTGAGACACTCTACTGTATAGTAGGACACCAGAACTTATTCTTCCTTTCTAATTGTAACTTTGTACCTATTGCAATTCTGTCTTTTAATTAATGTATTTAGTCCATTTACATTTAAAGTAATTATTGATATGTTAGAGTTTAAATTGTTTACTGTTTGTTCCCTGTTTCTTGTTACCTGGTTATCTTTCTTCTGCCTTCTTGTGGGTTACTTAAATATTTTTTAGAGTTCCGCTTTAATTTATTTATAATTTTTTCTAGTATGCCACTTTGTATAGTTTTTGTAGGGGTTGTTTTAGCTACTATTCTATTCATATGTAAGTTATCACAGCCTATGTCAGTGTCTTACCATTTCTATGGAAGGGCAGAAAGCTTACTTCCTTTTAATTCCTTTATCCTCTACACCTACAAAAATATAATTGTCCTAAGTATAACCTCTACATACCTATCAGAAAATGTATAATTTTTGCTTTAACCATAAATATGATTAAAGAACTAATGAAATGAAGGGTAGGATGTTACATTTACTTCTATTTTTACTGAAATGGAATAATGCCTTTTATTATCATTGTCTTTCTGTTTTGAGGGATTAATTTAGTCATTCTTTAAGGGTAGATGTGCTATCAATACAGTCTTAGTTTCTTTATGCCTGAGACTCTTTTCCCCTTACATTCCGGAAGAATAGTTTCACCATCTATGTAAGATTTGTGATTGGCAGGTCTTTCTCTCAGCACTTGGAAGATGTGCCACTTCCTTCTGGACTCCGTGGTTTCTGATGAGAAAGCTGTTCTTCACATTGATGTTCCTTTACAGGCCATCTGTTGTTTCTGTCCAGCTGTGACCTTTGTCTTCAGTTTTCAGAAATTTAATTATGATGTGTTTTGGTATAGTTTACGCTGGGTAAATTATTTTATTTGGAGTCTGCTGAACTCCTTGGATCTGCAATTTTATGTCTTTTGCCAAATTACATTTTTTTTTTCTATTGAGATGGAGTCTCACTCTGTTGCCCAGGCTGTAGTGCAGTGGCTCAGTGGTGTGATCTTGGCTCACTTCAACCTCTGCCTCCCGGGTTCAAGTGATTGCCCTGCCTCAGTCCCAAGTAGCGGGACTACAGGTGCACTGGATGGGTGGCTGGTTGCCAGGGGACCCGCTGGGACTACGCCTGGCTAATTTTCATATTTTTAGTAGAGATGGGGTTTCATTATGTTGTCCAGGCTGATCTTGGACTCCTGAACTCAGGTGATCCGCCTGCCTTAACCTCCCAAAGTGCTGGGATTACAGGTGTGAGCCACTGCGGTTGGCTGAAATTATCTCTTTCTTTTTTTTTGTTTTGTTTTCCGAGACAGGGTCTCACTTTGCCACCCAGGCTGGAGTGCAGTGGTGTGATCTTGGCTCACTGCAGCCTTGACCTACTAGTTTCTAGCAATCCTCCTGCCTCAGCCCCCCAAGTAGCTGGAACTACATGTGCACACCTCAATGCCAGGTGAATTTTTCTTTAGAGATGGGGTTTTGCCATATTGCCCAGTCTGGTCTTGAACTCCTGGCCTCAAGTGATCGGCCAGCATTGACCTCCCATCGTGCTGGGATTATAGGCGTGAGTCATTGTACTTGGCCTATGGGAAATTTTCAGCATTATTTCTTTGCATACTTTTTCCGTCCATGCTCTTTCTCCCTTTTTTTCTGGACTTTAATGATATGAACATTGGATCTTTTGTGATTGTCTCAGAGATATCTGAGGCTCTGTTCTTTGTTTTTCAGTCTATTTTCTCTTCATTGTTCAGATTGTGTATATGCTACTGACTTATCCTCAAGTTCACAGATTCTATTCCTGTCATCTCCACTCTACTATTGAACCCATTCAGTGAGTTTTTCATTTCGATTCTAGTATTTCTAAGTTCTAGAATTGCTATTTGGTTTTATATTTTGCTGAGATTTTCTATGTTTTTATTTGTTTTCAGGTGTAATATTATTGAATATATATTTTGATTTTTGTCCACAATTTCTGGCTCATAACCCTTGTAATTTCCTGAGTGGCTAGAGCAATAGGAGAATCTTTTGTTAAAACATTTGACCTTTTATCCTTGGATCTGAAACAGTTTTAGAATAGCTCCAGAGTTGTAAGGTGAACATGTCTTTTGTTATTTATAACAATCCCTTTTGACCACACTTGAGTTTGTTAATGAGGTGGCTTTTGGAGAGTCCCTAGATAACCACTGGGTGGGTGGCTGGTTGCCAAGGGACCCAACCTTGTGATTAACGGGTAGGAACTCACAGCCCATCCTCGACCTTGGGGGACAGGAGAGGGCCTGAAGTTTAAATTGATCCCAGTGGCCAATGATTTAATCATGCCTACATTATGAAACCTCCATAGAACTCAGACAGACAGGGTTTGGAGAGCTTACAGAAGCTGAACACGGAAGTTCCTGGAGAGTGGCAAGCCAGGAGAGGACATGGAAGCTACACATCCCTTCTACCTGGCTGTCCATCTGGATCCTTTGTAAAATCCTCTATACTAAGTGGGGAAATGTAAGTATTTACTCGAGTTCTGTGAGCCACTCTAGCAAATTAATCAAACCCCAGATGGAGATCATGGGAATCTGTGACTTAGAGCCAATTGGTCAGAAGTGTAAGGTACAATTAATACTATTAATACTTGTGACTGGCATGTGAAATGTGGGGGGCAGTCCCGTGGGATTGAGCCCTCAGTCTGAAACCATCCTTACAGGGTTAACAAGAATTACATGCTTGGTTCTGGATAGAAATATAGTTATAATTAAGATGTTTCTGGGGTCATGGGCAAGATGACCAAATAGGAACATCTCCAGTCTGCAGCTCCCAGCAAGATCAATGCAGAAGGTGGTTTATTTCTGCATTTCCAACTGAGGTACCTGGCTTATCTCATTGGAACTGTTTAGACAGTGGATGCAGCCCACGAAGGGCAAGCTGAAGCAGGGTGGGGTGTTGCCTAACCGAGGAAGTGAAAGGGGTTGGGGAACTCTGTTCCCTAGCCAAGGGAAGCTGTGAGGGACTGTGCCATGAGGAATGGTACATTCTGGCCCCGATACTACACTTTTCCCATGGTCTTCACAACTTGCATATCAGGAGATTCCCTTCAGTGCCTATGCCACCAGGTCTCTGGGTTTCAAGCACAAAAGTGGGCAGCCATTTGGGCAGTCACTGAGCAGGAGCTTTTTTTCATACCCCAGTGGCACCTGGAATGCCAGCAAGACAGAACCGTTCACTCTCCTGGAAAGGGAACTGAAGCCAGAGAGCCAAGTGGATCCCGCCCCCATGGAGCCCAGCAAGCTCAGATCCACTGGCTAGAAATTCTTGCTGCCAGCACAGCAGTCTGAAGTTGGCCTGGGACACTCCAGTTTGGTGGACACATCCACCCTAACTGAGGCTTGAGTAGGTGGTTTTCCCCTCACAGTGTAAACAAAGCCACCAGGAAGTTTGAACCAGGTGGAGCTCACCACAGCTTGGCAAAGCCACTGTAGCCAGACTGCCTCTCTAGATCCCTCCTCTCTGGACAGGGCATCTTTGAAAAAAAGGCAGCAGCCCCAGTCAGGGGTTTATAGATAAAACTCCCATCTCCCTGGGACAGAGCATCTTTGAAAAAAAGGCAGCAGCCCCAGTCAGGGGTTTATAGATAAAACTCCCATCTCCCTGGGACAGAGCACCTGAGGGAAGGGGCATTTGTGGGCATAGCTTCATCAGACTTAAATGTTCCTGCCTGCCAACTCTGAAGAGATCTCCCAGTGCAGCACTTGAGCTCTGCTAAGGGAGAGACTGCCTCCTCAAGTGGTTCCCTGACCTCTGTGCCTCCTGATTGGGAGACACCTCCCAGCATGGGTCAACAGACACCTCATACCAGAGAGTTATGGTTGGCATCTGGCAGGTGCCCTTCTCGGATGAAGCTTCCAGAGGAAGGAACAGGGAGCAATCTTTGTTGTTCTACAGCCTCCCTTGGTGATACAGGCAAACAGGTCTGGAATGGACTTTCAGCAAACTCCAGCAGACCTCAGCAGAGGGACCTGACTGCTAGAATGAAAACGAACAAACAGAAAGGAATACCATCAACATCAACCAAAGGACATCCACACAGAAACTTCATTTGAAGGTCACCAACATCAAAGACCAAAGGTAGATAAATCCACAAAGAAGAGGAAAAACCAGTGCAAAAGGCTGAAAATTCCAAAAACCAGAATGCCTCTTCTCCCTCAAAGGATCACAACTCCTTGCCAGCAAGGGAACAAAACTGGACAGAGAATGAATTTGATGATTTGACAGAAGTAGATTGCAGAAGGTGAGTAATAACAAACTCTTCCGAGCTAAAGGACCATGTTCTAACCCAATGCAAGGAAGCTAAGAACCTTGAAAAAAGGCTAGAGAAATTGCTAATTAGAACAACCAGTTTAGAGAGGAAGATAAATGACTTGATGGAGCTGAAAAACACGGCACAAGAACTTTCTGAAGCATACACAAGTATTAATGGCTGAATTAATCAAGCAAAAGAAAGGATATCAGAGATTTAAGATCAACTTAATGAAATAAAGTCTGAAGACAAGATTAGAGTAAAAAGAATGAAAAGGAACAAACAAAGCCTCCAAGAAATGTGGGGCTATGTGAAAAGACCAAACATACGTTTGATTAGTGTATCTGAAAATGATGGGGAGAAAGGAACCAAGTTGGAAAACTTCTTCAGGATATGAACCAGGAGAATTTCCCCAACCTAGCAAGACAGGTCAACATTCAAATTGAGGAAATGCAGAGAACATCACAAAGATACTCACTGAGAAGAGCAAGCCCAAGACACATAATTGTCAGAGTCACCAAGGTTGAAATGAAAAAAATGTTAAGGACAGCCAGAGAAAAAGGTTGTGTTGCTCACAAACAGAAGCTCATGATACTAACAGAGGATCTCTCAGCAGAAACCCTACAAGCCAAAAGAGAGTGGGGAACAATATTCAACATACTTAAAGAAAAGAATTTTCAACCCAGAATTTCATATCTGACCAAACTAATATTCAGAAGTGAAGGAGAAATAAAATCCTTTACAGACAAGCAAATGCTAAGAGATCTTGTCACCACTAGGCCTGCCTTACAAGAGCTCCTGAAGGAAGCACTAAATATGGAGGAAAAAAATCAAAACCAAACAAACCAACAAAAACCCACAGGTACCAGCCACTGAAAAAACACACCAAATTGTAAAGATCATTGACACTATGAAGAAACTGCATCAACTAACAGGCAACATAACCAGCTGGCATCATAATGACAGGACCAAATTCACATATAACAACATTAACCTTAAATGTAAATGGACTAGATGCCCCAATTAAAAGACCCGGACTGGCAAATCAGATAAAGAGTCAAGACCCACTGGTATGCTGCATTCTGGAGACCCATCTCATATGCAAAGACATAGACACTCAAAATAAAGGAATGGAGGAATATTTACCAAACAAATGGAAAGCAAAAATAGCAGGGGTTTCAGTCCTAACCTCTGATAAAACAGATTTTAAACCAACAAAGTTCAAAAAAGATAAAGGGCATTACATAATGGTAAAGAGATCAATACAAGAAGAACAACTAACTATCCTAAATATATATGCACCCAAAACAGGAGCACCCAGATTCATAAAGCAAGTTCTTAGAGACCTACAAAGAAACTTAGACTCCCATACAATAATAGTGGGAGACTTTAACACCCCACTGTCAATATTAGACAGATCAGTGAGAGAAAACTAACAAGGATATTCAGGACTTGAATTCAGCTCTGGACCAAGCGGACCAAATGGACATCTACAGAGCTCTCCACCCCAAATCAACAGAATATACATTCTTCTCAGCACTACATTGCACTTATTCTTAAATTGACCACATAATTGGAAGTAAAACACTCCTCAGCAAATGCAAAAGAATAGAAATCATAACAGTCTCTCAGACCAAAGTGCAATCAAATTAGAACTCAGGATTAAGAAACTCACTCAAAACTGCACACCTACATGGAAACTGAACAACTTTCTCCTCAAAGACTACTATTCTGAAAAATTTTGAATAATGAAATTAAGGTAGAAATAAGTTCTTTGAAACCAATGAGAACAGAGATACAATGTACCGGAATCTCTGAAACACAGAGAAAGCAGCGTTTAGAGGGAAATTTATAGCACCAAATGCCCACAGGAAAAATCAGGAAAGATCTAAAATCGACACCCTAATATCAGAGTGAAAAGAACTAGAGAAGCCAGAGCAAACAAATTCCAAAGCTAGCAGAAGACAAGAAATAACTAAGATCAGAGCAGAACTGAAGGAGACAGAGACACAAAAACCCCTTCAAAATAAAAATCAATGAATCCAGGAACTGATTTTTGAAAAGATTAACAAAATAGAGACTGCTCGTCAGAATAATAAAAAAGAAGAGAGAAGAATCAAAGAGACACAATAAAAAATGATAAAGGGGATATCACCACTGACCCCACAGAAATATAAACTACCATTGGAGAATACTATAAACACCTCTATGCAAATAAACTAGAAAATCTAGAAAAAATGGATAAATTCCTGGACATATACACCCCCACAAGACTAAATCAAGGAGTCGAATCCCTGAACAGACCAATAACAAGTTCTGAAATTGAGGCAGTAATTAATAGCCTACCAACCAAAAAAAGTCCAGGACCAGATGAATTCACAGCCAAAGTCTACCAGAGATACAAAGAGGAGCTGGTACCATTCCCTCTGAAACTATTCCAAATAATAGAACAAGAGGGCCTCCTCTCTAACTCATTTTATGAGGCCAGCATCATCCTGATACCAAAACCTGGCAGAGACACAACAACAAAAAATTTCAGGCCAATATCCTTGATGAAATAAATGTGAAAATCCTCATATGCAAATGAATAAACATAATCCATCACATAAACAAAACCAATGAAGATTGACCTTTGATAAAATTTAATACCCTTTCATGCTACAAACTCTCAATAAACTAGGTATTGATGGAACATATCTCAAAATAATAATAGCTATTTATGACAAACCCACAGCCAATATTATACTGAATGGACAAAAGCTGGAAGCATTCCCTTTGAAAACCAGTACTAGACAAGGATGCCCTTCTCACCACTCCTATTCAAGATAATATTGGAAGTTCTGGCCAGGGCAATCAGGCAACAGAAAGAAATAAAGTGTATTCAAATAGGAAGAAGGGAACTCAAATTGTCTCTGTTTGCAGATGACATGATTGTATATTTAGAAAATCCCATCATCTCAGCCCAAAATCTCCTTAAGGTGATCAGCAACTTCAGCAAAGTCTCGGGATACAAAATCAATGTGCAGAAATCACAAGCATTCATATACAGCAATAATAGACAAACAGAGAGCCAAATCATGAGTGTACTCCCATTCATAATTGGTATAAAGAGATTAAAGTACCTAGGAATACAACTTACAAGGGATGTGAAGGACCTCTTCAAAGAGAACTACAAACCACTGCTCAAGGAAATAAGAGAGGACACAAACAAATGGAAAAACATTCCATGCTCATGGGTAGGAAGAATCAATATCATGAAAAGGGCCATGCTACCCAAAGTAATTTATAGATTCGAAGCTGTCTCCATCAAGCTACCGTTGACTTTCTTCACAGAATTAGAAAAAACTACTTTAAATTTCATATGGCACCAAAAAAGAGCCTGTATAGCCAAGACAATCCTAAGCAAAAAGAACAAAGCTAGAGGCATCATGTTACCTGACTTCAAACTATGCTACAAGGCTACAGTAACAAAAACAGCCTGGTACTGATACCAAAACAGATATATAGACAAATGGAACAGAACAGACGCCTCAGAAATAACACCACACATCTACAACCATCTGATCTTTGTCAAACCTGATAAAAACAAGCAATGGGGAAAGGATTCCCTACTTGATAAATTGTGTTGGGAAAACTGGCTAGCCATATGCAGAAAACTGAAACTAGACCCCTTCCTTACACCTTACATAAAAATGAACTCAAGATGGGTTAAAGATGTAAATGTAAGACCTAAAACCATAAAAACTCTAGAAGAAAACCTAGGCAGTATCATTCAGGACATAGGCAGGGGCAAAGACTTCATGACTAAAACACCAAAAGCAATGGCAACAAAAGCCAACATTGACAAATGGGATCTAATTAAACTAAAGAGCTTCTGCACAGCAAAAACAAACAAACAAACAAAACCTATCATCAGAGTGAACAGGCAACCTACAGAATGGGAGAAAATTTTTGCAATCTATCCATCTGACAAAGGGCTAATATCCAGAATTTACAAAGCACTTAAACTAATTTACTAGAAAAAAACAACCCCATCAAAATGTGGGTGAAGGATATGAACAGACATTTCTCAAAAGAAGACATTTATGCAGTCAACAAACATATGAAAAAAAGCTCATCATTGGACATTAGAGAAATGCAAATCAAAACCACAATGAGATACCACCTCATGCCAGTTAGAATGGCAATCATTAAATGTCAGGAAACAACCGACACTGGAGAGGATGTAGAGAAATTGGAATGCTTTTACACTGTTGGTGGGAGTGTAAATTAGTTCAACCATTATGGAAGACAGTGTAGCAATTTCTCAAGGATCTAGTTCCAGAAATACCATTTGACCCAGCCATCCCATTACTGCGTATATACCCAAAGGATTATAAATTATTCTACTATAAGGACACATGCACATGTATTTTATTGCAGTACTGTTTACAATTGCAAAGACTTGGAACCAACCCAAATGCCCATCAATGATAGACTGGATAAAGAAAATGTGGCACATACACACTATGGAATACTATGCAGCCATAAAAAGGATGAGTTCATGTCCTTTGCAGGGACATGGATGAAGCTGGAAACCATCATTCTCAGCAACCTAATACAGGAACAGAAAACCAAACACCACATGTTCTCACTCATAGGTGGGAGTTGAACAATGAGAACACATGGAGACAGAGAGGGGAACATTACACACTGGAGCCTGTTGGGGTGGGGAGCCAGGGGAGGAATAGCATTAGGAGAAATACCTAATATAGATGATGGGTTGATGGGTGCAACAAACCACCATGGCACGTGTATACCTATATAACAAACCTGCAAGTTCTGCACATGTATCCCAGAACTTAAATTATAATTTAAAAATTAAAAAAAGAAAGATAATTATAAGTAGGCATTGGTCAGGCTGCACTCTGGCCCACTTCTTTGGGGCTGCTTGCTAGCTGAAAGTCACACACTAGACCATTTGCATCCCCATTGTTTCTACAGATGGGACTTCTGATGTTAGAATCATAAGACTTTTGTTTAAGAATTGCTTAAGATGTTCTTCAGATCCTGAATTCCAGCAGGCATGGCTGACACCAACCAGTTTTTTAAGACTCCCACAACAAGGAACCAGATCTGCTTGAGAAAACAGTTTCTTATCTCCCTGTCCCATGGCTTTACCCTGTACCCTTCAACCATTCAATGATTCCCCAGACCTCAGCCCACTCCAAATCCCTAAAAACCTCTGGCCCCAAACTCATCTTGAAGATGGATTTGAGTTTTTCTTCCATCTCCTCATTTGGTTGCCTTATGATTAAACCTCTTTCTCTGGCAATTAACCTGGTACAGTTACCAACCTGTGGAGTCTGATGCTATCTCCAGGTAATGAGTGTCAGAACTGAATTAAATTAAGGGATAGTGTGATCCCAGCTCACTGCAACCTCTGCCTCCTGTGTTCAAGTGATTCTCCTGCCTCAACCTCCCAAATAGCTGGGACTACAGGCAGGTGCCACCACGCCTGGGTTATTTTGTATTTTTAGTAGAGATGAGGTTTCACCATATTACCCAGGCTGGTCTCGAACTCCTGACCTCAGATGATCCACCCAACCTCGGCTGCACAAAGTGCAGGGATTATAGGTGTGAGCCACTGTGCCTGGCTGGAGACACTTTTTTCTTTTCTTTTTAAATTTATTATACTTTAAGATCTGGGATACATGTGCAGTTTGTTACATATGTACACATGTGCCATGGTGGTTTGCTGCATCTATCACCTCAATCCTAACTCTTCTGTTTCAGTGAGGTTTCATCTTGTTTAGGTTTGATGCCTAGGATCTGGTTGACTTTTTGGGCATTTGTATCAATGACAGTTTCGTTTTTCTGAGGCTTCCAAATTCTGTCGTGTTTTGTTGTTGTTGTTGTTTTTTTTCCTGCTTTGTTCTTCTGGTGCTGCTGGGATCCACACTCAGACTTTGCTGGTGCTGTCTGGGGGTGGAAACACACTGTGGAACCTCAACAGAGAACAGGGAGACCCAGAGCTCAGCTGATGTCAACCCAGCTGGTGGATCAGATGGGCTGCAGGGACTCAGGTTGTGGAGGGAGCTCCTAACTCAGGCTCTGCTGGGCTCTCCCTTTCCTTTGGACCGAGAGAGCAGGCTTCTCTTGGATTATTTTGTCTATTCCTATTGCTGGTTCCAGGTTGCAGGCCCCTGGGGCACCCAGTCTGAAAGTACATGGGAGATAAAAAGGAAATCTAGGGGACTCACCAGACCTCTCAAGTCTTGAAGCTCCTAGCCAGTCTGCCCTCCTTCTCGTGACTTTCGAAGTCCTTGTATCATGGTCCATTGACTAATTAGCAGGGGTTTAGTTGTTTAGAGGGGAGCAACAGGGAAAAATGATTCTATGTCACCTTCTTCTGGAATGGAAAGCCCATTTGGATGACTGATTATTTAAAAAAATAAACCAGAAGAACAAGTATTCACCAATGTATTTTGTTTGGTAAGCAAAATGTAGAGCCCAATAGAGGAAAGCAGTAAGAAAATTTCTGGTTGGTGTTATAGCTTGAATTGCATCCTCCATATAAGATGTGTTGAAGTCCTAAATTGAGAAGGTGGTGTTATTTGTAAATAGGGTCATTGGAGATGTAATTAAGTTATGATGAGTTCACAGTGAAGTAGGATAGGTGGGCCCTAATTCAATGTGATCAGTGTTCTTGTAAAAAGAGGACATTTGGACACAGACAGAGAGGGAAGATGGCCATGTCGCAAGATTGCTGGTAGAAATGAAAACTGGACACCCCAAAATGAAAGTCTCAGAAACAGCCTCTTCTTCAGCATGGGCTGTAGAAACCAGAGTCCCTTTTCCTCCAACCAGCCATAAAACCTAAAAATAGTCTAACTTTCCATCTCCCCCTCTGGCTTTTGGTATAAAAACTGGCCATAAGGACATTTTTGACTTATCTCATCTGATAAGAGCTTACAAGGTCCCCATTCCAGAGATAGCCCTGCCCCACACCCAGAGGAAGGTGATATGGCTTGGCTGTGTAAATTACCCCCCACCCAAATCTTATCTCGAATTGTACTTTCCATATTCCCCATATATCATGGGAGAGACCTGGTGGGAGGTAATTTAATAATGGGGGCAGTGACCTCCATGCTGTTCTGGTGATAGTGAGTGAGTTCTCATGAGATCTGATATTTTATAAGAGGCTTTCCCTTCTTTCACTTTGCACTTCTCTTTGCTTTGCCATGTGAAGAAGGACAAGTTTGCTTCCTCTTTCACCATGATTATTAGTTTCCTGAGGTCTCCCCAGCCCTGTTGAACTGTGAGTCAATTAAGCCTCTTTCCTTTATAAATTACCCAGCCTTGGGTATGTCTTTAATACTGTGAGAGCAGACTAATACAGAAGGAATGTTCTGCAGAGAGTTCAAGAGGAATCTAAACAGCAGGCCTTGCTGAGTTTCCCCACTCAGCCTATTAACATTACATCTTATCCTCTTTGCCCACTTACGTTTCTACGTAGCTGCCTACAGTTTGTTAAATGGGCAGTGTCCCCTATATCTTTGGGTCTTCATTTTGAAGGCTCCTGGGTGATACAATACTATGACCAAATAAGTTTGGATGCCTTTTCTCCTAATGAATCTCCCTTTTGATTTCCATTGAACCTTCAGAGCACAAAGGGGACGTTCTCCCTAGGCCCCTGCAAGCCAAGGAACTCCAAGGATTGCTGATTCTGTGGAGCAATTCTCCACACTTCTGGTAACAATCAGCAATCCTTGGAGTTTGTGGACCAATCCTTGGTTCTGCGGACCAGCACGTTGGTTTCAGACTTCTAGCCTCCAGAGCTGTAAGGGAATAACTCTGTGTGGTTTTAAGCAACAACATTGTTTGTGGTACTTTGTTACAGTAGCATTAGGAAATAGGTGGAATTGGGAACAGTGATCTGGTATACTTAAACATCAGAGAGACAAACATGGAGACAGCACGCATCACACACTCAAAGCCGGCGATCCATTTTCTAGGCACATATTCCCATAATGGGACAGAGAACTGACGGCAAAGTCTAGCAGGTGTGGAGGCTGCACTGGAAGCACCTGGATGCCTGGTTTCAACTGCCTGCCCTTGAGTGGGCCACATGGCAACAAGCATCTCCTGGTAATAGTGATGGACTGAGGCCAGACACCCCCTTCTTGTTGGCTGGGCAAACTGTCATCCCCTTAGATTACAAATGGTTAGGATGAAGTATTTACCCAAATGACGTTGCTCAGTGTGGGGGTGTGGCATAAGGTGGCTAACTTATTTATTAAAGCTGATTTACATGGACTAATTTTGGCCTCCAAAAAGAAATAGTGAGGTCCTAGCTGTAGTACCTGCAAATGCGACCTTATTTGGAAACAGGATCATGGAAGATGGAATTAAGTTATGAAAGTTACTGGAAACTAACTTCAAATGAAGAAGTAGGCCAGGAAAAATATGTCCCCTAACCACCATCAAAAACAGGAGCATGCACATTTATTTCACCCTTTACATTTTTTTCCACAAGTATTTTTGCTTTGAATCCTCACTTTAGAAACTGATTCTCCTGAAAGCTAGGTGACCTTTCAGGGGCACTCTCTGCTAACAGGTGAAAATCTGTCACAATTTATTACTTTATCAGTTAAAAGGTTCACTCAAATAAATCGCAGAGATTCTTAAAGTTGCTACAGAATTAGGGCACTTTTTGGGTTCTGACTTGGAGGGAGGAATTCCAGACCACAGACACCCCTTTGATGTGAGCATTTACACAGAACTTGCTTGGATCTGACTCTGAAAAATTTAGGACCACCCGGGGCAGATGGAAGAAAGCATTTAATGAGCACCTACTGTGTTCTAGGACCCATGGTAGGTGCGTTTCAGGAAATCACATCTGTTACACTGTGGTCCTGTGGCAGAGACATATACAAAAGGGGTCATTTCAAATAGAAAACATCTAGTTAGGCTTCGGTGACCCAAACAAAAATTTTAAAAGAACATGATAGCTCCTTCTCTTAGAAGCCCAAAATCTACTTTGTTGGAGTCTTATGAAACGAGCCTCCCCCACCTTTTTTTGGGAAATGCAGTGACCCCAGGAGACTCCCAAGCAGGAATAAATCCTGGCTCAGTAGATCTTTCATCCCCTGTAATGAATTCCTCAGGCCCTGCCAGTCAGAGAGCAGCATCGGCTCCCTGAGAGGCTTGTTCTCAGGACAGAGTTTCATTGTATTCAACACTGCGATCTTCCTGCCAAAAATTAATCCCACAAGCTGCGTCCTGAACAACACCCACCCGCCATGCAGTCTGAGCCTCTGTCAGACTTTTGAATTTGAAGAAGTTGGAAAGATTTGGAAGCGGGGGTTACTTTCTTAAGCAGGACAGATGCATTGAGACCACCTTGCCAATCATAAATGAAGACCGACTTTAGTTCCTCAGTCATCATTAAGCAAAACCACAATCGTTTCTTAACAAGCCCCTGACTGTCATGTTCTCTGTCCAGGTGAACGGATTACCTTCAAGGAACTGGACTGGTCATGTGTGTGTCCTGCATGTCATCCTTTTCTGGCTCTCATTGTCGCTGTGTGACTAGTTGGTTCTCATTGTCATTGTGTGATTCAAGTATCGTGACAAGCCCTGGGGAGAGCGAGGTCATCTTCTGAGATAAAACACCCAGCAGGTACCTCTAGTGGTGGTGGTGATTTTTTGTTTGTTTCTTTTTTTCCCACTTAACCAGTGTGCGAGATGGTGGTGGTTTTTAACTGACAAATAATAGCTGTATATATTTAGAGGCTGCACTGTGGCTAGAGGACATCATGCTAAGTGAAATAAGCCTCCGGCAGTTGCTACAGCAGGTGAGGCTATGCGGGTTCTCAAATAACAGTTACTATTTATATGTCCCTGAAGAGTCTTCCAGATTTGGGAGCTGCGGGTGAACAGTGTGAGCAATCGCGAAAAATCTGAGCAGCTGCAACTTGCACCTTGCCTGGGCCTGGCTCCTTCCTGCAATATCCCCCCGCACCACCTCTCTCCTTTATCTGCCCCCCATCCCTCTCCGGGCCAGAGTCGGGGAATTTCTGCAGCAACTGAGTGGTTAAAATCTCAACATGGGAGTTTAAGGTCCTTGTCAATCACATTCTAATTTTGACCTGGGCAGGTGTGACGCATGGGTCCTCCTCTCCTGCCCTACCCAGATACATCATCCCAAACCAACACCAGGCTGTCACCCACTCAAATACCTCTGAAGTGGCGTAATTGTCTAAATAGAAAATCCAGACTCTCTAGCCTGGCATTCAAACTTGCCTACTCCCAGCCCTTCCCCAGAAAAGACCCTAATGTAGCTCCAATGGGCTTTCCCATTTATTTATTTATTCATTCATTCATTCATTCATTCATTCAGAGCTGGAGTCTTGCTCTGTCATCAGGCTGGAGTACAGTGGTGTGATCTTGGTTCACTGCAACCTCCACCTCCTGGGTTCAAGTGATTCTCCTACCTCAGCCTCTGAGTAGCTGGGACTGCAGGTGCCCACCACCATGCCAAGCTACTCTTTGTATTTTTAGAGAGACAAGATTTCTCCATGTTGGTCAGGCTAGTTTCAAACTCCTGAACTTCTGACCTCAAGTGATCCACCTGCCTCAGCCTCCCAAAGTGCTGGGATTACAGGCAGGAACCACTGTACCCAGCCCCACTTACTTTTTATTTTAAAAACCACACTCCTTTTTCAAAAGTTACTAGAGACATGTTAGTTGCCAGATCCCAAAGCACTGCCCAAGTTCTAGCCTCTGTATTGATTGGCGCCAGGCAGCTGCTGACCTCTCCTGCTTTCCTAAACATCTCCCTGCTTTCCTTCCACTCCACTATGCTCTCTACTCCATCTGCCTCTTCTCTAGCCCCTCTTCCTTCTCCTGTTCACTTAACTTGGATTTCATAAGAATCCTAGTGATCCCAGCTACCATTCCTTGGGGTCTGCCCTGATGCCAGGCATTGAAATCAGGGCTTAACAAACACAATCTTATTTAATTCTCATAATTGCTCTGTATAGGAGTTTCTATCACTATGCCCAATTTACAGACTAAGGAATTAAGTCTCAGAAAGATTCAGCAATCTATCCAAGGTCATACATCTAGTTAGGGGAGGCCAGAATAGGAAGTTAGTATTTAATGGGTACAGAGTTTTCATTTGGGAGGATGAAAACGTTCTGAGGTGAATGGCAGTGATGGTTGCATAACCGTGTGAATTGACTTAAGGCCACTGAACGGTGTACTTTAAAATGGTAGCTGGGGCTGGGTGCGGTGGCTCATGCTTGTAATCCCAGCACTCTGGGAGGCCGAGGCAGGTATATCATGAGGTCAGGAGATTGAGACCATCCTGGCTAACACAGTGAAACCCCATCTCTACTAAAAATACAAAAATTAGCCAGGCATGGTGGCAGGCACCTGTAATCCCAGCTACTCAGAAGGCTGAGGCAAAAGGATTGCTTGAACCCAGGAGGTGGGGGTTGTGGTAAGCCAGTATCATGCCACTGCACTCCAGGCTGGGTGACAAAGCAAGACTCCCTCTCCAAAAAAAAAAGGTAGCTGGTGCAAAATTGCATGCCTGTAATCTCAGCTACTTGGGAGGCTGAGGGAAAAGAATTGCTTGAGCCCAGGAGTCCAAGACCAGCTTGGGCAACATAACAAGACCCCATCTCTTAAAAAGAAATGGTTGACTTTTACATTATATGTATTTTTACCACAATAAGAAAAAGAGACACAATGTTATCTTGGCAGCAAGTTGTACTGAAGTCGGGGAGTCTGGGGAAGAGAGACCACCTTGGTGGGGTGGTCGCTGCAAACATCGCAAGGTGGTTATGGAGGCGCCAGGCCATGCCTGCTGACCAGGGACAGTGGTTATAGATGGTGGGGGAGAGAAGTAGGGGCTTGAGTCCAATTCCACCACTTTCTAGGTTGGAACCTTGGGTGAGTCATTTAACCTTTCTGCACCTTCCTGTGCTATGCGTCCCCATCACAATCGGGGCTTTGTTTAATGCTTGGCACCCAGTAAGGGCTTTAGTAAGTGGTAGCTCTTGTCACCCCAGCATATCCTGGTACCATGTTGCTCAAAATGTGGCTGGGGGACCAGCTGCCTGGATGTCCGCTGGGAGCTTGTTAGAAGTGGGGATTTGTGAGTCCTAGCCCAGACCAACTGCATCAGAATCTCTAGGGGTGGGGCCCAGGAGTCTGTGTTTTCACAATTCCACCAGGTCATTCTCTCTTCCTAGTCAAAGTCTGAGAAGCCCCGAGCTGGTAGCACAGATGTTGTGGCAACCATCACTCAGGACTAAAGAGAAATTAAGAGTCCAGGCTTAGCAATAGCTTGTAAATGAGACTAATCTCTGGAGATCAGAACTTGGCAAACAGCAAACTTTACAGCCCCCAAGGTAAAACTTGGTTTTATCACAATTCTTGAGGCCGCCAGCTCTGTGATGGATTGTGTCTATGTGATCTGTCCATCACAGGGAGAGAACTGACTCTTGGAGGAGTTTGCATTGTGCTGGTCCTAGACATTGTGCGTCAGTGGCATAGGCAGAGGGGTTCTCGAAATTTGCCAAGCAGCTAAGTGAATCGATTGTCCCCAGTGGGGGGCCTGTTCCCAGAAGGGGTGGTAAGGGAGGGTGGGAGGCCGAGATAAGGTGTCCATTTCACATTGATCTCAGGGAGTGAGAGTTGAGATATGGTCTCCTCATATCGCTGGCGTGGAAGAAAGAGCAACATGGCAACAATGAACACTGGCAGTGGCCCTGGGGAATTTGGCCTTGCTGGGTGAAGTAACCAGAATGTATGTTGCTTTTTGAAGGGATACCCAAGGAGCGCCCGGTCCTCAGACCTCCCTTGCTCCGGGATGTTTACCTGGAAGAACGAGAGGGCCCAATAACAAAGACATTGGGTGCACGCCTCCAGGCCTTAAGACTGACTGTATCTCAGCTGCTGCATCTCCGGGGGCTGAGATGTTGAGAAAGTTGGAGGGAGCTTACCCAGGATAAGAGAGAAGACTCCAGACTACACAAGCCCTGTTCATTTAGAGTGAGTGGTGCAGAGTCCATGCATAGAGGTTCAAGGGCAGATCTGTGGTCCCTGGCGGAAGGCTGAGTGTCCAGCTAGGACTCCCAGTGCTGGTGAGATTTCTGGGGGAAATTTCAGGGTGCATTTTGCAAAGGACCCACCTTCTCTGGCATGAATGCCTGTTGTCAGAAGAGCTTGCTGTCATTGGGTATCCGCAAGCAGAGTCTATTCCCAGCCACAGCCCCTGTCCCTCAAGCCCCATGACAGGGTCAAAGCATTCACATTCTCAGGGAGGGCATGTGGCAAATGAGAAAGACTGGCTGGGGGAGCAGTGGATGCAGGGATTCCTGAGGCATCATTGGCTGAGGGTGGTCATGGGAGGCCTCAGAAGATGTTTCACATTTCTCTCCTCTCCCCTCCACTCCCCTCCCCTCCCTTTTCTTTTTTCTTTTCTTTTCTTTTCTTTCGAGACTGAGTATTGCTCTATCATCCAGGCTGGAGTGCAATGGTGTGATCTTAGCTCACTGCGACCTCCACCTCCCGGGTTCAAACAATTCTCCTGCCTCAGCCTCCCAAGTAGCTAGGACTACAAGCACACTCCACCATGCCTGGCTAATTTTTGTATATTTTTAGTAGAGATGGGTTTCACCATATTGGTCAGGCTGGTCTCAAACTCCTGAGCTCAGGTGATCTACCCACCTTGGCCTCCCAAAGTGCTGGATTACAGGTGTGAGCCACCACACCCAGCCTAATTTCATTTTTTGATTGAGGTGAAATTCACATAACATAAAACTAACCATTTTAAAGTGTACAATCCCATGGCATTTAGTACATCCGCAAGGTTGTGCAGCCACCACCTCTATCTGTAAAGGTTTCAAGGCTGCCTAGCACGGCCAGAGCAGGTGCTGAGGGAAGGGAGTGAGGTTGTCTGCATGGGGAGTGAGAGGCAGGCCTCAGAGGATGTGGTAGATGTGGCTGGGGAGAGGAATGCAGATGCGGGGGTGCGGGTCAGAGTCACAGCCTTGAGTGTGGAAAGGTTGATGAAAGAGAGAGCAACCAAGGCAAGTAGAAGACCCCCCAGTGAAAGCCAAGAGCCTCTTACATCAGTGGGAGGAGGAAACAGGCCAGGGTCAGAGGCCCACACAGGCCCAAGCAGGTCTGCTGTGAGACCAGCCTTCCTTCCCTCTGTGCTAGTCTGAGGGTGTTGGGGGAGGAGGGTGCTGATGCCTGGAGGGACTTTCTCAGCTGCTAGGGCTGGCTCGGTTACTTCCTGCCAAAGTCCTTCGTTCTCCATTTCCTTAGCTATAGAGGACCCCACCACTGACTTCATTCTTCAAACTTCCTTTGAACAGAGATGTGCTTTGTGAGCCCCATAGAACAACAGTGGTCCCTGTGGTTCCCGCAGTCAGAAGAGACCTGCACCTGCCCCGGGCCTCAGACTTTGAGGCTCCTCGCTGGCATTCCCCCCAGGGAGCGAGGGGCCCATTGGCCCAGGGCACATCTGGCCAGACCTGCCCTCTTCCTTCTGCCCCTGCTCCGGGTACTTGGGGGGCTAGCATTCCCAGCCCCAAAGCCCCAGGTATGCTTTCCAGGACTGCCATGGCTGCCTCCCAGGGCCTGTCCTCCCAGGGGACAGCATTGTCCTTGTGTACAGCCTTTGCCTTGGGGGTGCCCAAGTGTCAGTGTTTTTGGGAGGGTGTGGATAGAGCTGGGATGTGCAGTTTGGGGTTT